TCTTAACTGCTTATAGTAAAATGTGAGAAGAGAAAAACAAGTTAAAGATGGAATTTATAATAAAAAGGAAAAGTGAATGTAAACATTTTGGAAAATTCCCAGCTTGGCCATGTAAAGAATAAAAAAAGAGAAAACCAAGGGTGTGGCCAAGTGACCTTTTGATGAGGAGATTAGTGTGACTAGAAGGAAGCCAGATGTTATTCATTAAGAAAATTGGAAAATGACCGCAAAGGCATTTCAGAAATTATTAATGCTGCCACTCTCATCACAGGCCCACTGCACCAGGACCTTAAAGACCTTCCTCCCTTTCAAGGGAGGAAGGGACCCAGGGCTTCCTCAAGTCTCTTCTTCCTGCATTCCAGTGCGACACTCCTCTGCTCACTCCCCGCACCCTCTCACACCACTGCTGGGGCTCAAGTGACAGCACAGACTGTTCCCCTGGTGAGCACATCTGCAAAACCTGGCAGTATCTACATGGTGCTGACTGTGCAGGTACTCAGAGTGCATGCGCTGTGCAGGCATGGCTACCTCCACCTAGATTTCATAGGATGCTTCAGAGTTTCAAGGCCCTGGCAGAGAATTGCCACAGGGTCAGAGGCATGTGAACCAGAGCAACTTCATCTTGAATAGGAGCTGGAGGGATAAACTGAGACTGAGATCTACTGGGCTGCATTCCCAGATAGTAAGTCATTCCAAGTCACAGAATGACATAGGAAGTAAGCACAAGATACAGGTCATAAAGACCAAACTGTGATAAAACAGTTTGCAGTAAAGAAGCTGGCTAAAATTCACAAACCCAAGATGGCACGACAGTGACGTCTGCTTGTCCTCACTGCTACACTCCCACCAGTGCCTTGACAGTTTCCAAATGCCATGGCAGTGAGGCCTCACAAGGGCAATGTCTCATGACATTGTATGGGACAGGGCTACTCCTGAGACACTAGAACTATCAGGCAATTCCTCTCTGAGGAGAGCCACAGACACTGAGTGCCAGCCCATGAGAGCCGCAGTCTGGGCTGTACCCAGTAATGCCATGGAGGTGGGATCCCTGAAGCCTTGAAGACCCAAACTTCACCCTAGCGTGTCTGGAAGGTGTGATATGGAGTCAATGAAGATTGTCCTCAAGCTTCCAAATTTAATATTGTGTGCCTTGTTGGATTTTGGACTTACCTGGGAGCCATTACTCCTTTCTTTCTGCATATTTCTCCCTTTTGGAATGGGAATGTCTATCCTATACCTATCGCATCATTGTATTTTGGAAGCACATATTGTGGGATTTCACAGGCTCACTGCTGGGGAGTAATTTGCTTCAGGATGAAGAGTACCTTGAATCTCACCCATATCTGATTTAGATGAGACTCTAGAGTTTACAGATTTGAGTTGATGCTGGAAACAGTTAAGACTTTGCGGGCTATTTGAATGGAATGAATGGACTTTGTAGGTAAGAAGGCTATGGATTTTTGGGGGGCCAGGGGTGGAATGCTATAGTTCGAATGATGACATCACCTGCAAAATTTATATTCAAACTTAATCCCCATTGTGATGGTATTTAGATGTAGGGCCTTTGGGAAGTAATTAAATCATAAAGACTCTAAGATCATGAAAAGATTAATGCCCTTATAAAGAGGCTTTAGAGAGAATGTGCCCTTTTCCTGCCCTCTGTTTTGTGCCATATGAGTGAGGATGCTGCAAGAGGGCCCTCACCAGACACCTAATGTCAGCACCTTGATCATGGCCTCCTCTGACTCCAGAAATGCAAAAACTTAATTTCTACTCTCTATAAATTACCAGTCTCATAATTTTATTATAGCAGCAAAGGCAAACTACAATAATCAGTCGATTTTTAATCCGTATCATACTACAGTTTTGTCCGTACCCAGTCTCTTCAGTTTCTGATCCTTGGCCCAGTTTCCCATGTATAATATATAGTCTGTACCAGTATCTCAAACTTGATTCCTCACCTTCATCCCAAGGACTGACTTCTGACTTTCACTCTTCTCTGTGGCTCCTGTGTGCTTCTTTGACTTCCTTGCTCTCAGATGTTTCTGGCAACACTTTCCACCATTCCAACTCCCCACCAGGCCTTAGTTCCAAGACCGAGACCCAGAAGTTAGCTTACAGCTCTTGTTATTCTCACTCCTCCTCCAAAAGCACCAAGGAAAAGATCAATGTCCCCTTGTAAACAAGGCAACAGGCTATTGTATTCCCTACCCATACTTTAATATCTCAAGGACTAGACTTGTCTGTTAAATGTAGGCATCTATGCACATGACTGATATAACCATTATCTGTTGTAGTCCTGAGGCAGTAATGAGTAAACACACATACACCCCCCAGAAAACTACTCCTGCACCTCTACACTTAAGTATGTGTGTGAATTCGTGCTAGTGCACAACTCGATCTAGACCTCTACATTTGGTATTTATTAATTTTTAAGAGATTTTAATTAGGAACCAACACATGTGTTCTATGCTATTTTCATTTGTTGATAAATTCTTTAATTCTTAACCAATTCTACTCAAGCTTAGCAAAGAAGAACGAGGATGCATTTTGTATTCTTAAAACTCCATCTGTTTTCTCAAGCATCGAAATAGAAAAGAAAAAGAAGAGGAAAGCCTCACGTCGATTACACCATTTTTCCCATGAGACGATCTTGTAGGTCACATGCTTTTCACCATTATTTCCAAGTTGCCTTCTGAGGGCACAAACGTAATGCAATTGGGCTCCAAAGCTAATCTGAGCAAAACTATTTACAGTCTGAATAAAATATTTTTATAGACTTAAGTAGCATCAAAATCAACAGCAAAACAGCTGTATTTTTGTAAGAAATAAGAAGTGAGACTATAGAACTGTATCATGGATGCTCTTTACTACCTTTTAAAATCAGCACATTTTCACCATTAGCACAGCTACGTTCTTTTCTTAGACACCCAGCCCCACATTTCAGCTTTGCCCCTTCACTAGGGAACACATGAGGGGGATGCAGAAGAGAGATAATTGCAAAAACATGGCACTTTATGCTTCAGTTGCCAGCTTTTCCCACCCCAAATAATACACTGGAATTTCGAGTCATGTGTAATCCTTTGTGAAGAAAGCATAGAATTATTTTGAAGGAAAATGAATAAAGAAAAAGTGATTTGTTTGAAGGGAGAAGAAAGCTACTTTTTCCTGTTGTCAGGATTATCAAACTTCTGGTTTTTAACTGCTTTTATCACCATATGAGATAAAGAGAATTCAGAGTGAATTCATTCAAGTCAAGTGACCTTATTTTGTGGAAGATGGATATTAATATTTCATTTTTCTGTCTCTGTCACTCACTCTGCCAGGTGTGGCCAGGCAAGGTTGCTGAAACCCACTCATCCCCACTCTGGTCTCGTTTCCCCTCCTTGGATAACAGTCACAGCAGCCACATACCAATGTGCTGAGAGTCACATTTTCCATCAGCAGCATTTTGCTATTTGGAAAGTCCTCAAGCAATTGTGCCAGCTGCCTTGGAGTTGCCTGCAATATGGCTAATGTGTTTCTCACAGAGGGTCTGGGAAGCTTTGTTAGTCTCAGGGGCATTCATTAAATGTTTTCAACAAAGGCAAGTTACCTTTGTCTGTCAAATCTGTTTCTGAACATGATCTCGAGTTACTCTGCATTTCAGGATGGCGCAGTAATTCTGTGATGATAAATGAGAATTGGATCCGGAAACGAAGCACCAGTTGTTCCTACCTCTGTCTTTTTCTTCAGAAGGAGCTCTGTGTTGTGTAATTCAGTTTTCATATGTGGCTCTTCTGGCACCTGTTTTTACATTAGGATATAGGGTACACAGAAATTTATTGCTTGTGTGGAAATTTCTTATGTTCACAAGTTGATTGCTGCTCAATCTGTGGCTCAGTGGATGAATTTGAAGTGTTAAAATAGTTAAAAACATTTCTAAACATTTAGTTTTATTGTTTTGTTTCGTTAGTTCAATGTTTACAACAATAAATGGTTTTTAAAACATCTCTGAAAAGTCCAGTGGAAAACAGAAAGTATGGAGGAGGAAGCAACCCTTTCTAGCAGAGGGTGGATGCAGGCGCTCAACCCTCAAATTCTTTTCCTTGGTTCCATTCGTCAGTGCTCTGCAGAAGTGCCCCCTAGAGAAAAGTTTCTCTGCGCATGTCTTGGTGGTAGTGTGGAGGCTCAGCTAAGATGCACCGAATCTTCAAGGTCCTGAGTAAGATAATGAGACTCTCTTGATTGAATCTCTTCTTGGCTAAAAATTTATTCTCCAGGAAGAATCTAAACATTGGGAAAACAAATTGATTAATAGCAGACAATGAAAGCTTCCTCCAGGTCGGCATTTAGTTACTGAAATCAGTCCCCAAGCCATCCTGAAGACTCTGGAAGGGATGAACCAGGGGACTGATTCAAGCTTCTACCATTTTTGGCATGATCTCCCACAAGCCTATCAAGGAATTTCTCTTTAATCAAATGTCCACATAAAACATAACAAATTTAAAAACCTCAAAGAAAATCAACAGGGAAAATTTTACAAAGAATTATCAAGAATGTTTGGTGTATTATTGGTGAGTGAGATGCATGATCTGTGTAGGGAGTAGGACTTACCATAGAGAATCTATTAATCAGTTCCATTTGGTCAACAGCTATGACTGCTCAAAATGCTGAGGTACCATCCCAACCACCTGCAACAAAGCCTGAGGCCAAGAGGTGGCCAGATTGCCCAAGTGTGAAGTGACTTCAGTATAGGAGGTACATTGCATTGTATCTGGGACAGTGGAATGTAGAGAAGACCTCTATTAGAGATGCCCTCTATCTTTCCTAATTCAGCAGTGATTTTCTCAATTAGATAACTGGTTTTCCTCTGCTGATGTTTGCAAGTTTTAAGCAATTAGTCTCAATATTTGCATGAACCTTTATTTACCTTAGAGGAAGGTGATCTTGTTGCTAGCTGGGAAAAAAAAATATGTCTTTGAAATTGTTTTCTGGTCCTTTTCCACTTGTTTCCCTAGGCACTGACTGAAGACAAAAGAAACTTCTCCAGTGGATGAAGTTTGTCCACTGGCATCCACAGCAATGATGTCCTTGCTTCCCAAAGCGTACACATTCTTTGCTGGTGAGTGAAAGACTGGGTTGTGGCATCCTTCCTCCCGCCTCATATGAAGACACATTCCTTCTGTTCTCTAAATAACCTTGAAACAGGCTAAGCTTTCCAGAGCTCATTTATAGAAATCCTCAGTTTATGCAAACGCAGTATCATGCAAAAGAATTAAAAAGGAGAACCAGAATTTAGAAATAGTAGTACAAGGGAAGAGCTCAGTGAGGACCACCCTGGAGATGGAGAAAAGATCCAAAGTCTGTTTCCAATTATGAGCTTCTTGGAGGAGAAGAATATTTAAAGTAGTTCAAAATCAGGTGAGGATGGAGAGGTCATCTGTGTTGAGGAGGGGCAGGGCAGCCTGGCTTGTGGTGAGTTGTAAACCTTGATTATAACTAAAATGAGATAAGTTTGTATGCAAACAAAGAGCAATGTGCCTTTGGGTATAGTGAATACAGCTGGGCAGACAGAATGGGAAAATAGAGAAAGGCTTCACTTAGAATGAAGGAGAGGGTCAGAGCAGTGTTATTAAAATATTTCCAGTGGGAAATCCTGGCTTCGTGAGCTCTACCAGGTTGTAGTTACTTTGGGTGATTCATTTCAACTCTGGTGGTCATAGCTTAGTTATCTTTAAGTGGTGGTATTAGCCAGTGTAGCCAGTGATTCTCAAACTTTTTTGATCTAAGGATGGCTTGACACTTTTTTTTTTTTTTTTTGAGACTCAGTCTCACTCTATCACCCAGGCTGGAGTGCAATGGCATGGTTTTGGCTCACCGCAACTTCTGCCTCCCTGGTTCAAGCAGTTCTTCTGCCCCCGCCTCCTGAGTACCGGGGATTACAGGCACCTGCCACCATGCCTGGCTAATTTTTGTATTTTTTTTTTTTGTATTTTTAATAGATACTAGGTTTCATCATGTTGGCCAGGCTGGTCTCAAACTCCTGACCTCAGATGATCCACCTGCCCTGGCCTCCCAAGTGCTGGGATTACAGTTGTGAGCCACCGCGCCTAGCTGGCTTCACACTCATAAAAAACTGTTGAGATGCCAAATAGTTTTAGTTTATGTGGAATCTATGTGTTGATAATTATGGTATTAGAAATTAAAATGATAAATTTAAATAAAAATATTCATTAGTTTATTTATAATAACAGTTATAAGCTCTTTTCATATTAACATAAAGTATATTTATGAAAATTAACTATATTTTCCAGAACAAAAAACAGTTTGGTGAAAAGAGTAATGTTGTTTTGCATTTTTGCAAATCTCTCTAATGCAGCTAGATTCTCATATCTGCTTCTGTAGACTGCGTGTTACAATATCACACATCTTGTAGTCTCTGAAAAACTCCACTGTATACGTATGAGATAAAGAATGCCTAAGTGAAATAATAACTAAGTATTATGAAAATAGTTTGGACTTGCAGACTCCTAGAAAAGGTCTTGGGAATGGGAAAGCTTATGTTTACATTCCCAAGGTGTAATAATATCACTCTTTGTTTTGTGCATGTAAGATACTCACAAAGTCTTTGTCCATTACTCACCTCTTCCTTTATCTGTGATCTTCAGATCCTTGGCAAAGGTGGAGATATCTTAGAGCCCTAAACTTCCCCCTCTATCCTCCTTCATTCTTTAAATAATGCAGTGGAATCTTCTCAGGACACTTCAGGCAACTCTGTGCCTCAATATCACCTGGTACCACCCTATACCTTTCTTATTCTGGAAGCTAGTTCGTCAGAACAGACAGGGAGAAGAGATAACTCTGACCTGACTTCTGCAATGCCCCTGAGCTGAGGGCATTATTTCATCACTTTACCCTGTCCCTGATGAACAAGCATGGGCTTTTGAATCAGACAGAATGGGACTGAATTCCAATTACATGATCTCTGTGATGGTGGGTTCCTGTAATCCCTGCTACTCAGGAGGCTGAGGCAGGAGAATCTCTTGAACCCAGGAGGCAGAGGTTGCAGCGAGCAGAGACTGCACAATTGCACTCCAGCCTGGGCAACAGAGTGAGAATCATTCTCAAAAACAAAACAACAAAACAAAACAAAACAAAACCTGATGTCCAAAACTAAAACTTTTAAATAGTTCAGGAAACAACCTAGTGAGAAAAGTGGCATTGTTTTACATTTTTAAAAATCGATTTAATTAAGGTTTTTAATGGGAATCAGATGGATTCTGAATTTTACATTCAATCTGTTACAATATTATGTGTCATATAGCCTCTGGAAACCCAACTGTATATTTGTAAGAAAATGAGAGTAAAAAAGGCAATGGTGTCATTATAAAAGTAGTTTTGACTTTGTGAATTCCTGGAAAGGATTTATGGGTCCCTAGGCGCTGTAACCCATTTGAGAACCAGTGAATTAGAGTAACACTCTTGAGCTCTCTTTACCATTTAGGATGATTACTGAGTTCTGGAGACAGACTGGGCTTCTGCCTTCTTTTGAGGGAGGTGTCTGCCTACAGAAAATTTATGTTCTGGGGTGAGTATTCAATTTGGAATAATATTATCAAGCCCACTTTTGGCTACATCTAACTGTATTGAACAAATAGCTTTGTTACTATTAAATTAGACCTATTGATCTCTATCCACAAGAGTCCTGCTGTATATCTTGGTTAGTTCAGAGCTTGGCCTGGCATCAGAGGTATTATTTTCCTCCTGCATCCATGATATGAGCTTGTATGATTCACAGTGTAAGGATAAAGGAGGAAAACGTGATAATAAATAGGGAATGACGGGAAAAATTGTCCAGAGTAAAGTATCAGATTCACCAGGGAAATCCGTGGATCCTTTCTCTGAGCTCACTCCAGCCCAAAGTAGGAGCCCGTCTTTGTGTGGTATTTGCAATACTAGATTTACTTATGTTCAAAAGCATTACTAATAAAGTAAATGACTATCATATGTGTCTGGTTATAAATCTTTTCTTTCTCCCATGACAAAAGCTAGGCCATTCACTTTTATCTGAAGTTCATAGCTATCTTCCTCTCAGACTAAATTCTGGGGAACGATTGGTAAGCCATTTCAATATGGCATCCTATGAGAAATAAAGCTCTGGAAACTCAGACATTCAGCCCCTTCCAAACTCAGAAGACAGCTGCTACCCACACAGTCAGTCAATAATCACATTTCCAAATCTTGCTTTGTAGCTGAACTTTTAAAGTACCTCTAGAGTTATGCTTGTACAATCTGTTTCTGTTTTACTACAATTCCTATTTAATTTGTACTCCACTAATCCAGATTTTTGCATAAACACCACTCCTATGATTCCCGTTTAATAGAATATTGAAAATCATTTCCTTATTGAAAGTGTTTTGGGCTATTAAGAATAAAATATTTTATTTTCAGAGCAGTTTTTACATTTTCCAAACTAAGGAGGTGGAACAGTAAAGATTCTTTTAGCTTGCCTTTCGTTTTCAGAACTAGCAGTTTCTTGTAATATAAAGGTCTTTGGGGTTTTTAGTGCAAGCCTATTGAAAACTGTCATTTCTTTCACTTCATTTCACTTATAAATAATACTATTTTACATGTTCTAGGTAAAAGAAAAAATATTTCTTTAAAAACTATTCTATATATTCCTTATAATGTAACCTTGTGTGTAGTGATGACCTTTTCCTACAAAAGAAAAATTTGTGTAAATGCTGCTTTAAGTTAATTATAAATAATGTTGCTGACATGAACAACTCAAGGCACACTTAGAAAATATATTTATATGGCCAAGCGTGGTGGTTCACACCTGTAATCCCAGCACTTTGGGAGGCCAAGGTGGACAAACCATGAGGTTAGGAGTTCAAGACTATCCTGGCCAACATGGTGAAACTACATCTCTACTAAAAATACAAAAAACTAGCTGGGCATGGTGGCAGACATCTGTAATCCCAGCTACTCAGGAGGCTGAGGCAGGAGAATCCCTTGAACCCAGGAGGCAGAGGTAGCAGTGAGCTGCGATGGCGCCACTGCACTCCAGCCCAGATAAGAGTGTGAGACTCTGTCTCAAAAAAAAAAAAAGGAAAATATATCCATATAACCCTGATTTTGGTAAACATTATTTCTACATACTTATTTCTGAGGCACAGGGTTTCTTATACAGTCAGCTATTTTGAGGTATTTGAAACACTTTTTAGTTTTATGCTAGTTGCAAAAACTGGCGTTTTAACATAAACTATCACTTTTACTTGCAGAGTTCGTTGTAAAAAATATGAAGATTTTATATCCAAAATCAAGATACTTCTATATACCTTTCCACACATTTCAAATTTGTGAAGTTTAAGAGGACTTCAGAAATGATCAGTATCATTTTACAAATTACTTGGAACATGTGTTAATCAGTCATCTTCCTTCGTCAAGCTGATTCTGGAATTTATGGAATGTACCTACACACCAAATTTTAAGTGACTGCATATGCTAGTTTCTAAACATTTATGAGGGTTCTTTCAGTTTTAGCATTTTGGGTGTTAGCAAATAGTCTATTCCTATTACCAGATTCCTAAGCACAACATTGTTTCATTATTGGAAAATAACATATTTTGGGGGCTGTAAATACTCTGTGAGGACAAATGGATTTTCTAAAAGAGACTACTGACCACATGATAAAATATGGCATCTTAATACACTTGTTTACTTGTTGATGAAAAACATACTCAAAGGTTAAACAACTTGAGCAAGTAATAGGCAACTGAGGTTGGCCATTTAAAAAGAGGAACAATAAGCATGAAAAATCAAGATGCTTTAATTTCATAGACAGCATGAATTAAAAGCGAGCCACTGCCATTCTGCTTTAATTTAAATAAATCAAATAAATGTTTTCATTGTCTCAAAAAACTACTTTTTTCAATAACATTCATGATATATTTTTCTTGGTTTGTGTACCTATTTGGAAAAGCCTCACCGAGAGAGTTGTTGGTTATGAAAAATACAATTCCCTTAGCCATTTACTGGGCTACATAATGTGGTGAAAAACAAGTTTCTCAAAGATAAATTGTATTGGTCATTAAAAACATATAGTGCTTCTCCTTAGACAGACTAAGTTTATCTGTTTATATTCCAGGATGAAATTAGAAAAGTGACTGATGACAGGGAAATAGGGTAAGATCTATTTTCACACAATATTTGTTATTCAAGTTAGCTTCAGAACTATTAATAAGTATTTCCAAGAGCAGTTTTCATCAACTTAGATTGGACCAAGAATTATGACCACAGACCACAGACCCCCTGCCATCCAGCTGGCGTCTCCCATCAAGTAATGCAATGGAGCTATCAAATTTTTTAATTTATTATTTTTTCATTATTTCTTCTAAAAAAAGCAGGATAGATATGAAGAACATGCAGGTTTGTTACATAGGTATACATGTGCCTGGTGGTTTGCTGCACCTTTGACCCCTCTTCTCAGTTCCCTCCTTCATCCCCTACTCCCCAACATGCCCTGGTGTATGTTGTTCCCCTCCCTGTGTCCATGTGTTCTCAATGTTCAACTCCCACTTATGAGTGAGAACATGCAGTGTTTGGTTTTCTGTTCCTGTGTTAGTTTGCTGAGGATGATGGCTTCCAACTTCATCCATGTCTCTGCAAAGGACATGATCTCATTCCTTTTTATGGCTGCGTAGTATTCCATGCTGTATGTGTACCATATTTTCTTTAGTCTATCGTTGCTGGGCATTTGGGTTGGTTCCATGTCTTTACATGTAAATAGTGCTGCAATAAACATATGTGTGCATGTGTCTTTATAGTAGAATGATTTACATTCTTTTGGGTAGGGGCTATCAAATTTTGTGTTAGGACTAGGTGGCCAGAGAACATATCTGCTCAGTTGTTCCTTCATTCCTATTCACTTTCCATACTCCCTCACACTCACTGTCAACCTCAGCCTCACCAAAGGATGATAAAGCAAATGCCTACAATTGCAAGTGAGTGAGCGAGCAAGTCGAACAGATGAAGGAAGACCTATAGGAAGCTAAGCAGAAGCATGTGCTACAACGGGGAGGTGCCTGATTCACTTGGGACAAAGCCAGAACCTTCCTTTCACCTTTTTGGTACCATTTCAGGCCTAGTTGAAAATAAACGTGAGCAGTGAAATGGGTGACCTTGAGTACAAGCTTATGAATAATGACAGTAAAAAAGGAATCGTAACCAGGAGCGGTGTCTCACGCCTGTAATCCCAGCACTTTGGGAGGCAGAGGTGGGGGGGATCACGAGGTCAGGAATTCGAGACCAGGCTGACCAACATGGTGAAACCCCGTCTCTACTAAAAATACAAAATGAGGCTGATGTGGCGGTACACACATATGATCCCAGCTACTCGGGAGGCTGAGGCAGGAGAATTGGAACCCAGGAGGCAGAGGTTGCAGTGAGCCGAGACCGCGCCACTGCACTCTAGCCTGGGCGACACAGTGAGACTCCGTCTCAA